GCACATCATTGCGGAGGCATATACTCATTGTAGAAATAGTTATAACATCTTTCTAGCTATAATGCTATTTGTATTTGCTTTTTCTTCTTAATGTTACTTTAACTAAATTATATGCTTATACATTTCATCGGTGATCATTGGATAATCCAGCAATTCGTATCTGTGTTATTTGTTCAGGAGCCGATATGCAGTCTAATCGGAATGAACGCTTACACAGGTTGTCGCACATACAGTCTACTGTCTTCAGCTGCGCAGCGGTCAATTCGGTTGTGGACAATGAGTGATAGCGAGAAATCAAGCCTTCGCTACGCCCTGCTCAGCTTTCGCTCCGATCGACAGTGGGACAGGCTTCGACACAGGCAGCTGCTCAGAGCTAATTCCAGGTTTTGCTGCTGGACAGCCAAGCCCGCTGCAGCTCCAAAATTCGGCATTGGTACCACGCTGTTTTTGCTAGTGTTAGCTATTGATTATTCTCTGCGAATAGTATAAACCTCTACCAAGTGGCCAAAATTTGAATATCATCTTGGATTTAGGCTGCTTGTAGTACTCCGGGATTCAAAAACTTTTTCCAGATTTTGTTCTAATTTCTGTTCGATGTCCGTTAAATCCTGAAATGACTATTTGGGCTCTTTGGATCTCAAGTTTCTACTTGTACTTTTTACGGTATCCACGATGCGCATTTTCTCTGCTTATCCTAGGAATGGAGCGTACCTGTTTACGAAGCTTCTTTAGTGACACCTGACAGTCATTATATTACAACATTCTGCTTGAAAAAAGCAATGGCAGTTGCTTCTACATAACTATAATTTTTGCCGGGGTTCTTTATGGCTTTTTCATGAGAATACCAAAACCAGTGATGTAAGGATCCTATGTTTTCACGAGGAAATCAGGATCATCCGGACAATTGGTGTGGGTTCCCACATTTTTATGAGAATAGCTATGATAACTTCTCATAATTCTCTATTCACTATCGGTGTTTTTTGAACATCTTTTCTTTAACGAATCACTTTTGGAGCTAGTAGACTTTGTATTATCACGATGATTCAATCTATCTCTTAGTTCACAGTTCAGCTGGTAATGTCCTGCGCGCCTGTTAATTCTGACGAGTAGTTGGTACGAGTCGTTGACCAAGTGATCTCATCAATATGTTTTTTTGCTGTTACTGTTCCAGTGGTATGTCTACAGTGCGGGAAAAATAGAGGCACTGTAAATTTGATTTACTGGGCAAAGATCAAGTCCTTCATTTTGTTTCATATTTTCTTCATTTTACAAGTGTCATATGCAACTGGAATCGCTGGAAAATTTAAGACAAGCCAGAATCTGTACAGGGATTTAATACTAAGTATCTTGTTTCAGCTGTGTTAACACTAAGACAGGAAGAGGCCAAAACAATGGAGGTACCTCAAGACAGAATTAGATTCTGGAGGCTTTAGTTTTCAT